AAAATCATCCAAAATCCTATTACCCCAAAGTAGATAACTACTGCTAACATGTTGATACAGAGCTTCTCAAATTGTTTTCTAAATGTTTAATTTCAATAAAGGAATAGGCTCACACCTGGGACAAAGTCTCATCTGCTGAGCTGTCCTTTGTGAGAGCAATCAATCGTTAAATCACAGTGCTCAAGGATTCATGGAAACCTGGCCGATGGGTTTCCACATCCTTCCGCACTGATCTGCTTGGAGAGATTTGCAGCATCATTAGTAGTGATGATATTTTCTTAGGTGTCAACCTAGGCTAGTGTCTTAGTTCATACTGCTATAAAAGAATAGCATAGAATTGGTGCCTTGAACAACAGGAATTTGTTTCTCATGTTCTGGAGGCTAGAAATCAAAAATCAAGGTGCTGGTGGATCCAGTGTCTGTAGAGGGCCTGCCCCTTGTTCTGCAGATGGCCGTCTCTGGTTGTATACTTAGAAGACAGAGCAGAAAGAGGAGGCACGCTCTCTTGAGTTTCTTTATAAGGACACTAATCCCGCTCTAAGGGCTCCACTTATGACTGCTCACCTCCTAATACCAATGGGAGTTGAGGTTTCAACTTAGGGATTTGGGGAGGAAAGATTCAGTCTTTAGCAGGTAGTTACTCCTCTTTGAAACAAGATCCTAGACAGTGGCCTAGCATTTGGAAAGGAGGACAGGAATTTATGGAAATGGGAATTCACATAAATTAGCAAGCTTTCTGGGCTCCAATCTGGTGGAAAGTCGAGATGCACAGCAGGGATCAGGTACAAGAGAAGGACACTGGGACAGGAATAGTGTGAAGGCTGTAGCTGTATGGACACGAGGGAGCCCATAGGATCCCGCAAGGGTACTGCAACCAGAGCTCAGAGTGGCTGCTGGGGATGTAGCTCCTAATGTGCTGTCAAGATGGGTAAATTTGGTTGAGAATCCAGGAAGATTGGAGCTTTCAGGTTGAAAGACTTAGTAAATCGTAGATATAGGGGGCTGGGGAAGGCAGGGACTGATAAATCCCAAACTTTTGGAGTGGCGAGATCCCATCACAGTCTACTTCATTCTGCGACCCATATAACTGTTGTATGCCATATGTCTTTGTAACATAATTAAAGCTAATTAAAATTAATTTTGGTTGTTGAGTGTTTGAAGAGTTTCATAATAACTCTTGAGATAATTAGAGATGCTTTGGGATGTCACAAAAGGAGCATTTGGAATAAGTGGGCTAGATGTTTAAACCAGAAATGTTCAGTAAAGGGTAGCAACAGAGGATAATTATGTAACTGAAGGATGCTGAATTAGGTACTAAGAGTTTGGGGATGAACTCAGTATACTGGTAAACTGGCTCTCTGAAAAACAAACAGCCTTGCTTTGTGGAATTTGCCAATTTCCATAATGTGAATATTCCCAACACGGTAGATTTTATATTACCCTTGGTTTAACAACTAGCTCACACAATTCCTGAGTATTTCTTTTTTCTTTGTTTGGTAGTTATATATGGACAGAATGCCTTTAGTTTATTTATTTATTTTTTTATGTAGTGCTAAGGATCAAACCCAGTGCCTCACATGTGCCAGGCAAATGCTCTGCCACTGAGCTATAGCCCCAGCCCAATTCCTGAGTATTTCATAATCAGCTTTTGTAAGCTCTGTGCAAGACAGCTGGGACATACCCTGAGAATCCATACCGCATTCCTACTTAGCTTTGTGATCTTGGATAAATCACTTCAATTCTGTGGATCTTGGTTTTATCATCAAAAAAGTGAAGTTATTAAAAATAATCCCTGAGGTCCTTTCTGAAGTTCATATCCCAGTAATGCAGCTGGTGTTATAGGGCCAGTATGACACCATGTTATAAGCCAAAAGAGTTGCATCAGAATTTTATGACTGTCACTGAGATATTAATGCACACATAATTTGATAAAGTGGTCATAATCATACTGTGTCATAATCAACCATGTTCTGATTCCTGCTGTCAATGCTTTGTGTCTTTTGTAGTACCTCTTACCAGAGGGATTAAGAACAGCAGTGTAGCCATTGGGGAACCAAACTTCATGGCCCAGCAGCGAGGTAAGAAACCCTTACCCACAGTTGCTGGGTCCTAGGATACCAGCAGGTTGAGGGAAGATCCTAAGGCTTAGATACCTCACTTCTCTGACAGTGAGACCCAATAGTGGTGGTTTTTCCTAGACAAGTAACTATGTGAGAGGCTAATTTTCCTCCATGCTTTTTGAAGGCAAGGACAGCGTCTTTCTTATTTATGTGTGTCAAATTCTGGAAGCCAGTTAAGAGTTTGTTGAATAAACAAATGGGCTTTTATAGAGCAAATTGTGATTTTAAAAATATGCATTCAAAAGTAGACATGAGTTCATGTTTACCTTAATGCTGAAGAGTTGTATTTTTTCCAACGTGAGGAGTTATTTTCTTGTTATAATGGGAAACTTCTCAATGCTTTCAGTTCAGTTCGGGGTCTTGAAAATTGCCTTCCAGTGCTGGGCTATACAACCAGAACCAAATGGAGAGAAACATGAATGAGAAAAACACATACCAGGCAATCCAGGTATTTACTCCCCACCTATGAGTACCCCCACCCAATCTCAACCAGTAAAATTAGCTCATCTCTTTAAAAAAATACTCATATTTAGAAAATAGTTATTGGTATATCATATGCTTCATCACTATCATTTAATCCTCATGATAGCCCTCATATGATAAATATTGTGGCTCCTGTTTTAGAGAAAAAAAACTGAGACTCAGAGAGGTTGAGTAAGCCAATGGCAGAGGCACAGTCCACACCCCAGAGGTGGTGCTCTCTGGCACAGCCAGGCTGCCCCAGGGCTCTCTGGGTTTCTGCTTCCTGGTGTCTCTCTTGGAGTTTGCTGTAGGGGTTTCGGTGCCCTCTCATGTGAGTGAACCTGGCTCAGTCCATAGCCAGGCAAACAGAAGCACCAGTCTCTGGCAAGATTCTGAACAAACATCAGGACCCTCCCGGCCAAGGTGGCTGGGCTGTACTTTGCCCCCGTGAATCAGCTCCCTGGAGGCCGGGCAGTTGCAAAGGTGACTAACTAGCTATAGATTCGAGGGCCAGGTAAGTCTGGTGGATGTGGCACCTGGACTTTGACAAGCTCCAGGAGCAGAGGAGGCCCATCTGGGCAGGTCCCGGAGCGGTGCTGGAGGAAGGTGGGAAGCCGGCTGAGCAGGTGTGTGGGAACCAGCCCCCTTCTTCCCCTCTGGTTGTGCTTGCTGGGGATGTCAGCTTAGGGAGGGCACCATGGCTCGGAGGGGGTCTAGGGAGGGTCATTTATATGAATATGAGAGAGTGTGATTTGTCATCACAGGTGGAATTCCTTCACTTTGAGAATCTTAGGCATTTGAATTTGATATCCTTGATTACAACCCCGCTCTGACTTACCGGAGCTGGTGTCTCTTGGCAACAAGATGATGTGATGTCAGAGAAGAGATTGGGAATTGTGCCTTTGCAGTCTGGGGACAGGCTGCCTGGTGAAAACATCTGGGGACAAGGTGAAAGCAGCTTTCTTCTTGTCCCACTTACTTGTGTCCCGACGGTGATGATCCATGCCTCTGGCCTCTTCTGGGATCTGCTGGCCAAGGCTCTCGTGGCACTTGGCTGTTTCAAGGAAATGAGCTGACATGGAGAGGAAGACAGGTTCCCTGAGCTGTGACTGACCTTGAGGTGGCATGTACCCCTGGGCCCTGTGCTTCTTGTACATTCTGTTATCTCACAGCTCTTGGCTCATAGCTCTGGACCCTGGCTTGGTGGTGTTCCAGCAGAGTGACATCTTGGTTTCGACATGGACTCTTTGGACCTTTTGTTCTGACATGAATTTTCAGATGAGACTGGGAGCTTCAGTAGTGAGAGAAAGTGAACAGATGTGATCAGACTCTTGCAACCTAAGACAGGTCCCATGGGACGAGCCAGGTGGGAACTACCTGGCTTGTGTATGCTGGTGACCCAGGAGGCTCCCTGAGCAGGAGTGAGGGCTGAGCGCATGCTCCTCTGTGATAGGGGCAGAAGAATTTGGAAGGTCATCATCCCCTGGAGCTGCATCCCATTTTTGAGGATATAAGGGGGAAAAATGAGTTTGATTCAAAGGAGTCTTCTAGTTTCTAAAAGTCTCTAGCTAGGAAGACTCTTGAGACCTGAGAAGAATGGTTGTAATATAAGAACACGAATGGCCATAGTATAAGGTCTCATTCTTCTACAGGGTTAATTCAGGATTCAGAAAAGGAGTCTCTTGGAGAGGTCACTTTAAATTTCTTTTTGTTTAGAAAATCGTTTTGGTTAATCAGATGACCCTTTTCTCTACCTCTGGCAACACTGCTCTTTATCAGTCATGATCTGCCAGGCAGTGTGTTGGGTGATTTCCAGGCCCTATCTGTGTTTCTAACAGGAACCCCCCCTCTGCAGACTGGTTACTATGTTCTCCATTTTATGGGTAGGAAATTGAGGCTTAAAGAAAACTAACCAGCTAGTAGGTGGCAGTCCGTATTTGAACTTGGATCTTGCTCCCTCCAGGGCTGACTCGTTTCTATGATGCCTCAGCAGGTCCATCCTGAGTGTTGTATAAATGTTTGCTGATGGGATAAATGAAGAAACACTAATTGGGATTCCTTGATAGCATTCCTAGTTGCATCTATTACTGTTATCTGTCTCTCTTGCCTCCCACATCTGCCGTTCCATATGTACTTTTTAATTTTGTAAGCAATATCAATATAATTGTCTAGCCTGTTATTTATTTGTGTATCTGCTTGAGATTTTTTTTTTCTTCAGATCTCTCTATATCCGTGCCCATATGGTTTGTTTCAGACAAGGTTTGAGGACTCTAGTTGCTCTTTTCATAAAACCTAATCAACCACCATGTTTAGATATAGGCTTAAGACAAGTATTTTTCCCCCTTTTTGTTTAGTGTGCAGGGAAATAAAACAACTGTACAGCTGACTCAAACCCAAGAGAAATCCAGAGGGTCAGGGATGGAACCTTGGGTTCCCCTGCGGCCATCTCAGCCTCGGGGGAGGCCCATGGCACCTCCAAAGGACCCCGGCCGAGGGCTTCAAAGTGGACCTCATCGGCCTGTTCCTCACCCTCGGCACAATGGAGAGGGGTTCCACCGATGGCAAGACATCCGTGGGAGCCCACAGCCACTGCAGGACCCCCGGGCAGACCACCTGCAGCCCCCTCATGCACCCAGGTCTGGGGTGGACTACTATGACGGGGCCTATCCCAGCCAGGGGTACTCCAGGTATGGCTTCAGGGTTTGGAATGGACCCAACTTTTCTACATGTGGATGAACAGTTTGTTCTTTTCCTTCTTCCTTTCTCTTTTATTTCTCTCTCTCTTTTTCTTTTCCCACGTACTATATTGCCTTAGCTAAAACCTGTCCTCTTTCAAGCTGTTCTTGGGTGAGGGAGGATAGTATTTTCCTCCTCTCTGTCCCCAATGGAGCTTTTTAAACAAAACAGCTATCACAGTGCCATCAGAGGAGGGGTACAGGTGGGAATTCAAGGCAGCAGATGGGACTGTCTTGCTCTGGGATCCCAGAAGGCAACATGGAGACTCTGGAAAAGCTTTTCTTAGGACCCATAGGAAGGGGCTTCACAGTCTTTGGACAGTTCTAACCTGGGGTTAGTCTGATATCTCCAGCCCCAAGAAGAGTCCTAGTGCTGAGAACACGGCTGGAGTGTGACTGGCACACAAAAGCAGTGGAGAATGAACGAGAGCTGTGGGAAAAATCAGCTTCTTAGAAAAGCCAGATCTGGACTTTCCAGCCCTAAGTTCAGGAGGAAGAGGCTGCGGAGAGGTGATCCTAGGACGGAGAGTCTGGAACTCCTGCTCCCTCCAGTTCTAATCGATGACATTGTACCAAATATTTCATGGAACGTTGGAAGCCATCAATGTTCTACTTTGCCTTTTCCAGTTAGGATATTTATTCACCTTAATAGGTTGAAATTCGGGTTGAAATTATGACAACTATTGTAAATACTAAAGCATTATTAACTGATAAATTAATTGATATGATGTTTCTTTTCCCTGTCTTTTTGGGTTATTGGATTCCCAAAGGGGAGGTATGTTAATCAGATTTAAGATTATTTTAAAATATCATTTCTATCTGAAATATGCATAGAAATTACAATACTAGGTTCTTTTCTTTACATCTTTTTAAAATACCTTTATTCTATTTATTCATTTGTATGTGGGGCTGAGGATGGAACCCAGGGCCTCACACGTGCTAGGCAAGCGCTGTACTGCTGAGCTATAGCTCCAACCCTCAATCGTAGGTTCTTATTATCTTATTCTAAGATAGTATCAGAGAAGAATTTTTTAAGATAACAGCTACAGAATGGATGTATTTGGGGAGTAAGAGTTTTACCATAAAAATTAAAGAGTTCTAAATAAAAATAGTTAAACAAAGATTTTTAAATAAAAAAAAATAGTTTTCTATCTTACTACAAAAATCCCAACCTTGCCTGGCCCTTCTCCTGCTCTGATTCTGGATTTGTTTAGAGGGTCCAGAATGAACTGTAGCTTTCAGGCAGATTCTGGATTGGGGTGGCCGCTCTGTCCTCTGAAGTCATTTAGTTTGCCTAGTCCTTCGTGGGTTTCTCTACTGCATGCATCCTCAGGTGACTGGACTTCCTTGTGATGTTTTAGGCCAGGCTTCGAGGATCCCTATCACAGATATCACTCTCCAACTATGAGGGAAGAATATGCCTATGGGAGTTATTACTACCGTGGCCACCCGCAGCAGCTTCAGGAAGAAAGAGGTATGGAGTACTCTCTCTCCACAAGCCTTTGGGGACTGGGGGTGGTGCAGGTGGCCTGACAGGCAGGATGGAAGCCATTGGTACCATGTTCAGAGCCTCACCTTGGGCAGGTGAGACCACAACAGAGACCCTGTCTCTGATCTCCTGAGCAGAAGAGAGCAGGGAACTTCTCTTTTCAAGTGACGATGGCATTGAAACTGTCTCTGTGTTACTTATACGGAGGATAGTTTTTATTTCATCTGCATTTTTTCCTCCTACTCCTTCTTATAGCCAAGGTTATGATTACTGATCAAGTAAAAGTGAAGTCAGTTCTTAAGGACATTTGGTGTGTGCTGGGCTGGGCTATAAGGAGTCTGACCATTGCTTCACCCTGAGGGTGGTGGACATGTACCCATGGGGGTTTTATACCCTATACTCACAGGTATAGGGTGGGTGCCAATGGCAGCTTCTGACCCCCTCACCAAACGCAATCTGTTTCAACGTTGAAAACACACACACATGTGCATGTGTGCAGCCATGCTAACTGGTTCAGAGAGGTATCTTGGGGCTTTTTTTTTTTTTTTTTTAATTTGAAATTTAACTCAACTTGGCCAGAAAAAGAATTTTTTTGGTGATGTTTGAAACCAAACCCGTGGTGTTGTTCATGCTAGGCAAGTGCTCTACCACTGAGCTACGTCCCCAGAACTGATCCATTTTTATGCCTACTGTGCCCTAGTACCTCAGCTGGATAGCTCCATAGCATCTTTCTGAAGAGAACTTCCAGAAATAGCCAGTGACCTGTCTTCATTCTGTTTTCTCTGAGGGAGCAGTGCCAAGGCAAGGGACTCCTTATATCTGGCATGAAGACTACGGAGATCAGAAGTACCTCGGTGGGGATCGCCATCGGGAAAACCAGAACAGTTCATTTGGGATGAACAGTGAGACCCAGTTTCAGTAAGTGTGAAGGGAGAGGCCACCCCACAGGACTGGGTCACACTCAGTCTACATTAGATCCATCTTTTTCTTTTCTTTTTGAGAATATCATAGAGTACATTTTATTTTTATTTATTTAGTTATTTTTATTAGAGCGTTATAAATTATATGTAGAATTTTGGTGTCAATCTTATGGCATCTGGTTCTGGTGGTTGTCCTCTACCTCTGGAAGCCCTGGGGAGAAGAGACTCTTTTTTGGGGGGGGGCGGGGTACTGGGGATTGAACCCAGGGCACTTGACCCTTGAGCCACAATCCTGGCACATTTTTATTTTTTATTTTGACACAGGGTCTCACTAAGTTGCTTAGGGCCTTGCTAAATTGCTGAGGCTGGCTTTGAACTTGTGATTCTCCTGCTTGGCCTCCCGAGTCACTGGGATTATAGGCATGTGCCATCAGGCCCAGCAGAAGTTCTGATGATTGGGTCCTGCCTGGGGTGCAGAGCTGCTCCTCTGCCCATTCCTGGGCCTTGAGAGTGGGATACTCCTCTGGCATGAAGCAGAGCAGGAAAGAGACTTTAACCCAGGCCTCTGTCCTGGTCCCCTTAGCCCTGGAATTCAGCAACCCAAGTGCTCTGCTCCAGGCCTTCCAGGACCGCAGGCTGGAGGCCAACCCTCCTCTGTTGGGTCCGAGGCCACTTCCTGCCGCTGTGCGTGGAACCCGAGCATTCCGGTTTTCCTGGTATTAGTGCACTTGAGGTGGGGCATGGGAGGAAAGTGCTTTTCTCTGTGGCACCCAGGCTGACCTGCCACTGCCACACGTAGATTCAGGACACCCCCAGAAGAGGCCCCTCGGCCTGTCCGGTCTGTCCAGGACCCATCTCAGCCCTGCTGTCATTTCACTGCAGATCTATCAGCCGGAGCCCTTATAAAGACAGTCCTGCTTCCAGCTCCGGACAGGAGCGGCCTGGGGAGGTCTTTTCGGAGAGTCGGTTAACTGGTGTCTGCAAGAATAAGGTAACTCGAAGTGACGTGGGGCTGGAGGCCCATGGCCATGCATCACAGATGACCCTGTCAGCAGTGGCAGGCCGAGCCCTCAGGGGTGGGGGCTCCAATAGCCAGACACGTGCAGGGGCCTGTTCCTCTCCCCATGGCAGGGCCCTACTCACGCCACCTCCTCTGCCTGCCTTCCTGCTTCAGTCTAACGCGTCGGAGACCCTGATCTGGCCCCTTTGTATTTTTGTCACACTGGAAGCATCCAAGTCACTCTGAGGTGCTGGGAAGGAAAGAGGCTGACACTTGGTGTACAGTATTGGACACCTCAGGGCACTAGCAATTTGGTTTACCCAAGAAATGGGAAGTTGCTAGAATCTTTTAACTCAGGTTTGAAAAGCGGGGCTTGAAATCTTTCCTGACACTTTCATCTCTTTCCTCTAAAATCTTAAAAGCGTACTTCCTGGGCCACAAAATGGAGCTCTTAATTTTTTTTTAATAACCCTTTTTATTTTGGAATAATTTTAGATTTGTGGAAAAGTTGCAAAGATACTATAGAGATGAGCTCTTACGTTTTGATGGTCTTGTATTAATTTTGTCTTCCTGACTAACTTTGTGTAAGTCCTGAGAATAGCTTCTCTGCATACTTAGTGCTTAACAGGGCAGGATATATGTTTTTGTGACTAACCCTACCACAATAACTGCAGCCACTCACATGTATATAGCACACGACAGCATACAAAGAGCTTCTGAATCCATTATTTCACTCATATTTGCCCAGAATGTAGTTCCATGAATTTCTTGTACTCCTGTATCCTCTTGTACCTGGAGCATAGTAGGAGTTCATTAAACAGCAGGTAAATAAATATGTGGGTAAGTAGCTGAAGTATACAAGGCAGATACATTTATCTCTATCACAGATGAGGCTATTGATCTTAGAGGGCCAAAGTCACTTGTCTGAGGTCACAGCAGCAGGGCACTAGAATCAAAACTGAGGCTTGACTTCAGGGTCTCCCTGACCCCAGGGCCATAATGCACCCTTTAGCAAATACCTGTTGATGGTATGCTCCCTTTTCCTTCCAACATATCCGCGTTCTCTGTATTTCTGGGAAAGTTTGAATTTTGCTTCTTTGAAGGAATACTCGGGAAGCCCAGCTCCCTGAAACTCCTTCCCACGTGTCTCCTGGTTCTTGACTTTCAGCCATCACTGACCAGCAAGTCCAACCTTGTCCAGCAGCACGAGTCTGGTCTCAGCTCCAGCAGCTATGAGCTCAGTCAGTACATGGCGGATGCCCCTGAGCAGTATGATCCTAGGGCGTCAGCAGTTTGGAGTCCAGGTCAGGCAGGTGGGTACTCGAGGGAGCACTGTTGGAAAGGTGGGTGCGAGCCTCTTGAAAAGCCACACCTAGCCCGTGTTTCCAGAAATGAATCCTTGTCTGCTGCATGGGCTTCTCTTCCCACCTTTTCTATTGAAATGGAAATTGCATCCTGGCTGGCCCTTAGAAGGGAACACTGCTCCTAGCCATGGGCAGACTGGGCCAGAAGGCACTCAGGAGTGCTTTCAAGTAATAGATGAAGAAGTGAAGAACAGAAGAGAGCTCATGTAAATAAATAAATAAATAAATAAAAATAAAAATAAATACACAAGATTTTTAAATGTAAAAACATTTAAAAATAAAACGTATATATGCAATGTTTACAGGCTATTATGAAGATGTTTCTTAAAAATACATTCAGGAAAACCAAGATTCAATCAGTTTTCTCAAGTTTAAAAATGATTAGAATAGAAATTTTAATGAAATAAATCAAAAGAGTAATCAAATGCCCATTAATCAGTTATGTTTTAAGTTTTTTTAATAATCTCTACATGAGTGCACATTAGATAAAAGTCTGCAGATTATTAATATAAAATTGCAGTATTCTAATCTGTCTGTTTTATGAAGTAATAAAGAGGTAATTTTCTACAGGGAAAAAAAAAAAGAGTGAAGAACAGAGAGAACGGGGTAAAGCAAAAGCAGGACACAAGGCATAACTGCTTTGTTGATTGTAGGAGTCTTGCCCTGGGCATAGAAGCCACAGGCTCCTGGCCTCTCACCATGGCTGAGAATCTGGGTTGGGTTGCACTATCATTTGGACCAAATTAACACATTCTTACATTCTATTCTGACATATTCTCAGAGGCTTAACTTGGACTGGTGCAGGGAATATGGGCTTCTTCCAATTACGTAGCCCACCCAGAATCTGAGCTTGGTCCCAGGTGAAATTTGGACAGAATATGTCTGTGGCATATTTCTAAATTAAAGAAAAGCTGTGAAAGAAGTGCTAACAGGGTCCATCTGTGTTCTCTTGGTCAGGGGATGTCTCAGCAGCAGGTCCCCACACACCCGTGAAGTTCTACGTCCCTCATGTGTCTGTGAGTTTTGGTCCAGGAGGTCAGCTGGTGTGTGTGTGTCCCAGCTCTCCCCCTGATGGGCAGACGGCCCTGGTGGAGCTACACAGCGTGGAGGTAAGCAGGATCCCGTGTCTCTGGTATGCTGGCACACTGCACCCCCAAACTGCTCTCCGTGTACTTGCCCTCTTCCCTTTGCCTGAGCCTGGGCATCTCCAAGGGGGGTACGCTTGTGGGGAACTGGGCCCTGTGGCCCCTGGAACAGGAGGCACAGGAATGGCTGGGCTCTTCTCTGGAAGAAGCGATGCTAGACTTATGTTTCCCCTTAGGTGCTAGTGGCTCATCTTAACAAGAAGAACACGCTTATTCTTCTGTTTCCTCCCCAAGGCCCTAAGCCACCTCCATGGACCACATCCCTGGGGTCTGACACTAAACTTGACCAATGGGGGCACTTGGTGGAAGTCTCGAAGACCAAATTTGACTTTCTATTCCAGGTTATTCTTAGTGATTCTGAAGACCAAGAGGAAATGAGAAGTTTCTCAGGACCCCTGATCCGGTAAATTACTTTAAGAGACCGAGTAAGGACTTTTGCATTTTGGGGCTTTGTTTTGGTGTCCTTGGAAGAAAATGTCTCTCTATGCTACTAGATACAACCATATGTGACCTGTGTCATTTTGATAAGCCACTGGATAGTTGAAGGACAGACAGAAAAAATAGCTTCACAATTTAACAATCAGTTCCATTTTGTAGATAGATGTTCTGTGGTAGGATGTTTTAGCATTCTGTATACTTTATAGATGTTAGTAGAAAAGTGGAGCACTGGGAAGTCACCCTCAAGTGGATCGCAAGGGAAAAACTACCCAAAGTGACTTCTCAGAGAATGTTGTCAGGGTTCCAGTTACTGGACAGTGTGCAGGTCTGCCCTCTGCAGGCCTGAATTGGAACTGCCTTAAAGTCGCCAGTCATGTTGCTGATAAATATTCAGGGTACATTTGTTGTGCAGAAAGACCTGGCTGGGTGTCAGAGGACCTGGGTTCAGGCATCCTACTAAGTAAGGGTACCATGGTGGGCAGGCCAATTAACCCTCTCTGCGTATTACTTTTTCCTCTGAGAAATGATGTTATACTCACTCTGCCAATTCAGGTGGTGACTGTGAGACTCAAGGGAGATTATGCAGTATAAGCCCTTTAAATAGCATTGCTACTATTCAAATGTATTCTTGTCCTGAAGCCACCCTGCCCAAGAAAATCCCCTTATTATACCTGACAGCTCCTTCAAGTGAAATGAGTGCTGTCTCTATGTCTTACACACAGCTCTACAGATGAGAGTAGAGAACTGAGTTGGCTATTAAACTCTAGGTATCAGTCCCAACTTGCCTTCAATTTGTTGGATAATATGGAGCAAATAATAATGCCCGTTTATTGAGAACTTAGTATAAGCCACAGAATCTGCTTGTTTCTTTTTGTATGCATGCATTTACTTTTATTATCCTTATTTTAGGGAGGGGGGAAAACAGGTTTAGAAGAGATCAGAAACTTGTCTAAACTGAGAGTGACAGACCAGATTTAGACTCAGAATTGTCTGACTTGAAAGTTTGCGCTCTTAGCTGGTATTTTGTCACTTCACCGAGGCCTCTGGGCCTCAGTTTCCTCATCTGTAAAATGGAAGGGGGGGTGTAAAAGAGAGTCTCTGAAGTCCCTTCCTGTTCTACAAGGAAATGACCATCCTGTGGCTACAGACTTATTACCCCACCCTGGGTTGTCAGTCTTCTATCCCAACCTCACCTTGCTGGTGCCCGCATACTACAGGCAGAGCAAGGATCCTGAGTGTGGGAGAAGTCTGCCTGCTCACTCTTTGTTTTCTGAAATCTCTCACAGGGAAGATGTTCACAAGGTCGATATCATGACATTTTGCCAGCAGAAAGCAGCTCAGAGGCTCAAGTCTGAGACCCCAGGAAGCAGAGACTCAGCTCTACTGTGGCAACTGTTAGTTCTCTTCTGTCGCCAGAATGGGGTAAGTCATGGCTTGGATGCTCGGGCAGGTGCAGGCCGGGGTGGAGTTTCAGGCCGTGGGAGAGATGAGGCCTGCGGTATGGTGTGATTATGAGAAGCAACGCGTCACCTCTGGGAAACACTGCTCATGTGTCAACACCAGGTTGCTAATGCAGACTTTCCCCCCGATGCTCTCCTGCCCTGGACGGGAAATGCAGTGCTCTTGTGGGGTTACTGCACCAGCCCGATTAAACACCTGTGAAATTAGGCTCCAGTAAGCTTCATGGCTCCTGACAGCCAGAAAATATCCATGATAATGAAGTTGACGTTTGAAATCCAGTCATCCGAGGAGGGACTGCCCGTGTGTGCATGAGTGATGGTGAAGTACCTTGTGCAGAGGGCAGGTGCCTGGAGCCTGCCTTCTGCAGCTTGGGCTGCCTGCTTGAGGACCAAGGGCCTTCTCCCCCAGGATGACCCTCTTTGCCTTGCAGTCCATGGTGGGGTCTGACATAGCTGAGCTGCTGATGCAAAACTGTAAGCTGGAGAAGTACAAGAAGCGGCCCCCGGTGGCCAACCTCATCAACCTGACCGACGAGGCCTGGCCCGTGAACTCCGGGACCCGCAACCTGCTCACCGGGGAGGTCTCTCCCACGGTGGAGACACCTGCGCAGATCATGGAGAAATTCACCAAGCTGCTGTACTATGGGAGGAAGAAGGCAAGTCTGTCCTTCTCCCCGGCGTCCTGTAGAAGGGTGACCACTGTCCCCGCCTCCAACACCCTGCCTCCAATTACATGAATGGCATACACTGATTTTAGAGCCAGTGAGAAGTTCAGAAAGGCACGGCAAAGAAAATAAAAACACCAATATAGGTTTTAACTGTTAACACTTACGATGGGAGTGTAGTCTTGTTATTAAAGATAATACCAGTTAGCATCTAGATACATTTACTTCCAGCATTTTCCCATGTGTATATTAAAATGAAATCAAATTACTTATACAGTTGTTTCTCTTTTTCCATTTAAGACCACATGGTGAAAGACCACATGGCATTAAACTGACAGCACCATTTTATTTATTTTTGTGGTGCTGGAGACTAAGCTCAGGGGCTCAGGCAAGTTTTCTACCACTTGCCAATAGCACCATGAAATAAAGTCTTACTTTGTTTAATCACTCAACTATTTTTTGAATATAGTTGGCTATTTACAATTGTGTCATCTTATAAAGTATGCCATTTGAACATTTATGACATGTCACTGCTGATCCTTGGTTTATTTTTTAGGACAGATTCCTAGAAGTGGGATTACTGGGATTCAAGAGTATGTCCTTCCAGGGGGTTCTTCATATACACACCAAATTAGTTTTAGAACCGTCATTTACAAGTAACACTTCTGCCTACCAATATTGAATCTGTAATTTAGCAGATGGAGGGAGATGTCTTGTCTAATTTTGAAACTCTGTTCTTTATAAAAGTCATAAGTTCAAATGTTTGAATCTGTGATGAAAATCAATTTAGTGAAATAAAACCATAAAGAATGTAAGGGAGGAATGATGCCCCTCCCCCCTCCAATCACCCAATTTCTCCCCTGAAACATCCAAACTTATTTTTTGCATATATAATTATTCCCCCTCCCCTCTTTTTTTTTTCTTATAGCATACTGTGGGTCAGGCCTGTACTTTCCTTTCTAAATATTTAGAAAACAAACTTTGGAGTTGGTAAACCTTTTCCATAAAGGGATAGGCAGTATATATTTTTGGCTTTGTCTGCCCTCAGGTCTTGCTGCAGTATTCAGTTTAGCCCTTGGAGCATGAAAGCAGCCGCAGACAATGCATAAATGAACGAGTGGCTGCATTTCAAACTTTATTTATGGACATAGCAACTTGAATCATATATGATTTTCATGTGTAGTGAAATATTATTTTTGTTTTGATTTTTTTCAAATAATTAAACAAGATAAAAACTCTTTGAACTTGTAGGCTGTGCGCTGGGCCATGCCGAACACGCAGTGCACTGGATTTGGCCTTTGGTGTATTTGCTACCTCTTACCCCTTTATCATGCTCTCTTTCTCATAGCACATATATCACCTTCTAGATTATAACTGCCTCATTATTTTTTAGGGCTGCGTAGTTTTCTATGGATTTTACAATTAATTCAGCTAAGCTCCTGTAGATTGACATTAAGATTGTTTCTTTTGCTATTACAAACAATGCTAAAATGAATTGTTATTTTGCCTAATGTGAGAAAATACATGTAAGATAAATTTCCAGAAGTGGAAGCCTTGGGTCAAAGGGTAAATGGTTTATAATTTTGATAGGTATTGAAAAATCTCATTAGAGCTGTGAATCAGTTCACCCCCTCAGCAATGTATGAGAGTATGTGCTCCCCACATTCCCCCCATGTCACCAGCCAAAAGTGTTTGCAGATTTTTGATATGTGCCAATCAGAGAGGTGAAGAAATACCATTTACTATTAATTTGCATTTCTGTTATTAGGAATGAAGTTGATTATCTTTTAATCTGTGCATTTTCTGGTCAAGGGTTTTCCACATCTTTCAGTCTTTTATCACCACAAGTTGATGTGTTGGAGTTCTTTCTTGTTTTTGGACTGTGTGTCCCAAATCACTTTTGAGGGATCATATTTCAGAAGCCTTTTCCTGTTTCAAAATTAATTCCTAAAAATAAGGTTGGAGTACTTTGGTAACTTCATTTTCACATTTAAATATTTAACCTCTTGGGATTTTGGTGTATGAGGTTATAAGTGAGTGCTTGACAATGATGCCCAGTAAAAATCGGTGGGATCAAGTCGCAGCCATTCCCTGTCTATTCCCTATAGAGTAGGGAGTCAGAGTTTCCCCAATGATTCATTTATTCAATAAACATTTATTAGCGGCTACTACTTCTAAGGCATTGAACCCAGTGGGGCATACAGAGATAAATGAAATATGAACTCTTCCTTTAAGAAAGATAAGCAGCGAGCATAGCAACTATAATAACAAAAGCAGATTTAAAAAATATTTTCTACCTTCCAGGCACTTGCTTAACATCCTACATGCATTGTCTTCTTTATTGCCATAGAAACACTACATTAGCTTCCCTCCTTGCTTTATGTATTTTTGGATCAGAAATGTTAGTAAGTGGTGGAGTGAGGGCTGAGCTCTAGGCAGCGGGGCCTGAACCTGGGCTTCTAACCTCCCTCACACCTGGACCTGAGAGGAAGCGAGGGAGAGATGCGGTACCCATGGAGTGTGACTGATGGATGAGGTGCTGGGAGGGAGAACATCTTTAGAACCTTTGTTCATATTTGCCTGGGTCTTATTTCTGGCATTGGGTGAGACTTGTGTCCTTGACATAAGTTCTCAGTTTCTTCACTAGTTCTTTTTTTTGGGTACTGGGGATTGAATCCAGGGACAATTAACCACTGAACCTCATCCTCAGCCCTTTTTATATTTTATTTAGAGACAGGGTCTTGATGAGTTGCTTAGGGCCTCTTTAAGTTGCTGAGGCTGGCTTTGAACTCGTGATCCTCCTGCCTTAGCCTCCGGAGCTGCTGGGATTGCAGGTATGCACCACCATGCCTGGCTTTTCACTTGTTCTTAAATTATATTTTTGGACGGGCAGATTTTTGAATCATCTGTAATTCCCAGTCAAGCATTAGTAACTCCTTTCCTTACAAAAAAAAAGAAAGGTTACAAAATTATCAATATATACACAGACAGTGACCTTTAATGTCATTTTTCACTTGCCCTGGATGAGAGGCTGGTTTCCCTAATTGTGGCTATTTAAATTTGCTATCCTTTCCCCCCAAGAAGATATCATGGAGGAATGTTGAGCCCATTAAAGAACTTGTTACTTGGAGATAGAATTACCTCATTAGTGAATTCCTGTTCCCAAACCACATCTTGTGGCAGTAGGAAGTTACTAGTACCAGCTCAAAACCTCCTGTATGAGGTAGTTCCTTACTAAATATTTCTGGAAAACTGAATGTAAAGGTTAGTAGACATGTGTCTGTGTATTATTTTGGCCTAAGAAGTTATTTGACAGTTAACAAGCAATTGCTTTTAGCATCAGAAGCTAGGTTAACTTCTATGTTTACTGGCTTAAACTTACAGCAGCTTATTCTGGTTCATTGAGAGCCCTGGACAGGTAGATGGACCAGTGGGGCAGCCCCTCTCCCTGTAGTTGGACTCAGGATGCAGGAAGCTCTTCCCTCCTCAACCAGGGAGTCCTCTGCATTCCAGCAGCCAGATGGGGTGGAGGATCGGGTGTGGGTGGTTTTATGGTCCAAAACACTTCCATTTCCTTTACATGGTGTAGACTCAGCCGCTACCGGGCCCCAGAGAGGTGGGAAATATAGTCCAGCTCTTCACCGAGGAAGGAGAACATGGATCTTGAGCTGTTGAAAAGGGCACTGTTTGTTCTTCAACAGCCTCTAACATGAATACTGTTATGCTATTTGCATTTTGAGACTTTGTTTTTGGGTGACAAAGTAACATTTATGTAACATCTTTGTTACAGAGATTCTTACAAGTATTTTGTAACTTGCTAATAAGATATGGCTACCTGGTGACCATGTTTGAAGGAAGTCAAGGAAATGGCATAATGGGTGGCTGGGGAAGTGGACAATCTAGAGAAAACACCAAGCTGATTAGAGGACCCCCTCCCCTCCCTCCCCGCTTCCTTCTTCACATTTATAATGAGGCCCAAGAGTCTCTGGAGGCCCAGCCTCTACTGTTCAGGGTGCAGCAGTGCCCACCACGGGAATGTGTTATTTCTGTGGCCAAGGCATTGCTGAATGTGACGTTTTGGTTTTCAGGAGGCCTTGGAGTGGGCCATGAAGAACCACTTGTGGGGTCATGCTTTGTTCCTCTCCAGCAAGATGGACCCACGGACCTACAACTGGGTCATGAGTGGGTGAGTCCAGCTGACAAAGGAGGCCAATGGCACAGAGAGGCCTCCCCTTCAGGGCTGGGTGGGGATGGGGGTGGGGAGAAGTGCCAAAGGCACTGGGAAGGACCATGCTCCAAGCAGCTTCCAGTTTTTCTTTGTCGGAGCTCGTCTTTTCTCCAGAATCTTAGAACCCAGACACAGAGAAACTCTTTCTATCTGTTGAGTGGAATGAAACATTTTAGTAATATTTTTGAGTTTCCAAAAATTAAGTAGTTTCTACATTGCTGTAGTCTTCTCTGAGAGGGGCTATTCTAGATAGTTCCATTAGGGAGGGAACAGATATGACTTAAGCTTAATTGAGAAAACCATAGGACCAAGGGTTTTGATGCAGGTAAGTGTTGAGAGGGGACGTGGGTGTCCAGAGGTAGGCTAGGTATTAGGGCAGCAGGACCATGATACCAGGGAAAGATCCCATGGGACTGCGAGTCAGATCCACAAGTCGACATCTGCAGCAGTGGTGCTGTCGAGACTGCGGAGGTGCTTAGTCAGAAGTCACACCAGCAACGGAGACCCACCCAGGGGCCAGGGGCACCAGGAAGGACAACCACACCAGAATGGGAGAGGGATTGAGGGAAAGGTGCACGGCCAGCCTTCTGGAACGAGGGTGACGAAACAGCAAAAGAGGGTCAGTATCAGGAGGAGGTGGTGGCGTGGGGGTGGCTTTCTGAATAGGTCCTGCAGGCTCCAGCTGGCATTGGGGTGGCAGGGCTGGGGGGCTGAGAGGGTCTGTAAGGAGCAGGCTTGGTGAGAAGAAGATGGCACTTTTAGTGTTTATCTTCTAATGTTGGCTGAGGCTGTGAAGCTGCCTCCCACCTGGCTTATGCTTGAACTGGCCACAAATCCTGTTGGGCCAGGTTGGACGAGAGGATGGACCCCTCCACTTTAAGTTCAGTCTGTGTTCCTCGTGGCTGCCACTCTAGCCGGGAGCCCTTCTTCACCACGGCCTCAGTCTCCCTGGGGGACCGGTCATACTGCTGAGCACTGGAATGTCGAGGAGCGCTGGGGTAATTATGAAATGTGCTCGGCGCTCCTGCGGCCAGGGTGCTGTGGGGAGAAGATGGTGTTCTCAGGGACAGTTTTCCTCTGGGTTTTGAAAATGAACATCCCACAACCCCACATTGTGGCATATATCTCTGCTACAGGTTTTATTTTTCCTTGGGCCATTGATTTTTGATGGGGCCAAGTGAATTGTGAAAAATACCTTACAGAGTATGCTTAAATCTCAGATCAGCTGTAGAGCTCATTATATCCTTGTTAAGCAGATCCCATGGATTGTCATGAGCAGGATCATTTCTGGTCCCTGTTCCACGCCTCTTTGGTTATTGAAAATGGCTATTTAGTGCTTGTGAGTAAAAGACATACAGACCCAGGCTTGGGGTGAGCCAGAAAAATGTCACGGAGCCGTGGGCTTGGTGGGGAGGAGGGTGGGGGGGAGGAGGAGCCCACGAGAAGGGAAGAGCTTCCAGGTAACTCTCAGCTCTTTGGGGGGCCCTTGAGGCGAGGGTGGGATATATTGTTGGCAGAAGAAGGCCCATAGCAGTGGTCACTCAAGAGTTAGAGGGCTAGGGCCGAAGTGCAGAAAGCATCCCTACACAAGAAGTCTATGGGGGGGTGCGTGGGAATGAAGATGTTTCTGTCACCCCCAAAAGGAGGACGGAAAGGCCCAGCAGAGCAGAGATGCTCACACTCCAAAAGAACCTACTGAGACCCAGTGGAGAGGCCTTGCATGTGGCCATGGACCAAGACTTCTGGGCCTGGTCCCCCAACTGACCTTTCTCTCCTGCAGCTTCACCAACACACTGGCGCTCAACGACCCTCTGCAGACCCTCTTCCAGCTCATGTCGGGGAGGATTCCACAAGCAGCCACGGTACCTTTCCTCAGCATCTCCAGGGTCAGGGTGGGTGGGGACTGCTGGCTCTGGAATGCAGCGATGGCTTTCTAGATGAGACAGGACCAATAACAGTCTGTTAGTTATTTGCCATGTTCCTGGCCCTGTGCTAAGCCCTTTGGTGCATATTATTTTATTTAATGCATGGAGGTAGGAGTTATCTCTGTTTTGTGGATGTGGAAACTGAGGTGCAAAGGTGTACATGGCTGAGGGTCACAGAGATGGTGGGGTCACGCTTGGCCCAGGTCTGTTTGACCCTAAAGACCTTGCCCTTCCTACCATGTTACGGCTGCCTGCTTTGCAGTGAAGCCCACACTGCTGTTCTCCAGGATCTCACGCTGGGCTGTGCTTCTCTACCCTGGGCAAGCTCTTCCCCTGGGCACCAGTCCTCAGATCCGACACGCTGCACTTCGCTTCTCCTGGAGCAGAATGTGGCTGAGAAGTCTGAGGCCTACATGCGAGTTTTCCCATGATAATAGACTTGATTTTTTTTGCCCCAAAGTATCCTTAGCTTTGAAGCCCAGTAACTACTAGGATGTATCCTAGTGTTGACTCTCTAGGTCAGTTTTCTTCCCCCCTGGGGCCTAGCACACCCTTTAAATATGTCCATTCATAAATTAGAGTCCGGGAATTTCCTTGAAGTTTATTCATCTATATTTGTCTCATTCCATTACTATGGTTTTGTTTTCAGGAATTCCATGTATATACATCTCAAATGTATAAGCTATATAAATACATGATATATATGTGTATATAAATGTATATAATTTTCTCTTTAATTAAAACCCTTTTCTTCCACCCACCCTCCGTCCCTTCGTTCCTATTTCTGCCTGCTGTGTTTTCACCAGTGTCTCTTGCTCTTGTGTCCTTCCATCTTTGTCTTTATTTCTTTGATGTTTCCCTCCACTTCTTTCCTGAGCTCTGCAGGTCTCCTCCCGTTGCCCATTATTTCTCTCCTGAGCTCTTGTAACTCAGCTTTATGCTCTTGCTTCATAGAAGCAACTGTTTCGTGATTTCCCTCTGCTTCTTTCTGGTGCACCTACATTCAATCTCCATTAATTTTGGCGCCTTTTCTTGTATTTTGAAGCTTGGAGTTTTTTCCTGACAACAGTTTTAAGGAAAATGGACATCACACTTTTTCTTTTTTGTCCTTATTGCTGTGGATAATTCTAAGAAAATAAAAGAGACCCAATGACTTCCATGACCACCGACGGGCTGTTTTGGAGCAGTGTGCCTCTCCATTCAGCTGAATGGCCTGTGCCCTGCAATGCAACGCATCTCCACAAGAGCACTGTTACAGAACATGGTAGAATCAGCTTAGGGTCTTCTGGGTCTTGCTGCAGCAATAGAGTTAGCTACTTTTCCCTACTCATGGGTGAGAAAACTGAGGAATGAGAGGTGATGGGTGGGTGCAGGGTTTGCTCTGGGAGTGTGGAAGTTTCTTGGCATCACTCATGACATGGGATGAGTGGCTTAGGCAATGGCATGGTAATGGGACATGCAAATGAGGTTTCATCACAGGTTTAACCTTGACTTTGCTGTTACCTCTGTGCAAGCCTGGCCTGATTACACAATCCCACAGAGCCTCAGTTTTTCACCCTTGTGGAGATTTTGTTACCTAACCAATAGGCTTATTGTGAAAAATGAAGAAGAGAGAATTTGTGAACCTATCATCCACCATGCCTGGCCCATTGAAATTAGTTAATAATGTTTCTTCTTCTCCCCTTTACTCCATAGATCTGCTTGGCAGAGATGTGTTACAAACCATACAGGAATAGACAGAAGAATGAATTCCAATTTTCTCCCTTCCCCCTTATTTTTAGTAATGGATCTTCTTCTTTTCTGCTGCTTTCTTTACATCCAGCAGAAGAGGCCTGACTCTAGGCAATAATGATTCCTATCACATACGATTGTTGGATTGTTGGCAGGAAAATGATTAGCATAGGATATGATTCAATACCTGAGCCAGTGTGGTAAATGAGAACTACTATTATTATTTTGATTTTTCATCATCAATATATTATATTGCATTGCCCCAAATAAGCAGGGAGTAAGTATAACAGAGTTGGATAAAGCATCTTTTATTCCTTGGGATAATTACAAACACCAAATAACTGTGAATAGTTTTGATGTCCAAATCTTAGTTATTACTGTCAATCTGCTTGACTCATCTGTGCAACAAACTGGAGATGGACTGGCCTCTTTGCTGAGCTTACCTGTGTGTGTGTGTGTGTGTGTGTGTGTGTGTGTATTAATACCGATTATGGAATTTATAAAGTAAAAACCAAAGTGGCACAGTGGTGCATGCCTGTAATCCTAGCACTTCATCAGGCTGAAGTAGGGGGATCACAAATTTGAAGCCAGCCTCAGCAACTTAGTGAGATCCTGTTTTTTTTTTTAAAAAGGGCTGGTGATATAGTTCAGTGGTAAAGCGCCTCCTTAGTACAAACAACAAGTTAAGAACCCAGAGTGAAGCAACTATGCTATGTGCTTTACATAGATATTACTTATTTTATTATCAACAATGATGCAGTTAGGTGGAAATCATGATCTCCATTTTCAGAGATGAGGAAACAAAGGTTAAAAGACATTAACAGTCTTGCTCGGGGTCACAGCTAGTATGAGGCAGGAATCAAGTCAAATCCAGGGCCTGTGTTCTTTCTAGGACCATCATATTGTTTATTGACAGTTTCTTCCCTGAAATTTTCCCTCATTTGGGAGAAGAGTGGCCCCAGGGCTAGCTCACAGGGAAAGCACCATTTCTGTTGTTTTCCCCCACGTTTCCACTTCTCTGCTGCCCCCTGGTGGAGTCTTTAGCCTCCCAGGGCAGGAGGGAAGTGACTGGGGATTCAGTACTGGCTGGGTGGACTGGCTATTCATATCCCTAAAGCGTAGTAAGAATCCGACCTCACAGGATTGTTGCAAAGGTTAGATATGATGACGGGCGTCAAGGGGCTTAGTAAAACCAGAAAACATTAGCAGTGGCGAGACATCAGGTGTCCTAGTGCTCCCTGACATCTGTGACAGGCTAATGCAGTCTCTTCTACTCACAAGAAAAAGATGTTTGATCTTCCTTCTCCCACGCAAACATCAAGGTTTGTTTTTCTTTTCTTTTCTGTTTTGTTTTGTTTTGTCTTTGCTATTTGGGGTGAAAGTAAGGCACTGGGAAGAATTTAAAAATTAGTGAATGACTAATGTCATTTTGTTTATCTCCTGGTATTCTTAGGCACATGGGTATGTATGTCTGTGTCTATATGTGTCTGTCTGCCTGTCTATCTTTCTAGCAGTTTTGTCTTTTTATTTTTTTTTTAATGAGAACTCTAGATCAACATACGGTAGCACGGCAGTCAGTATCCTGAGTGTCCCCTGAATTCCTCCAAACCAAAAGACAGACAGCAGCCTTTTGTGTTAACCTGTATTTTGGGCAGCACTAAATGACTCTGTAAGCCTTCATTATTCTTCTGCTCTTTTTCAGTGTTGTGGGGACAAGCAGTGGGGGGACTGGAGGCCCCACTTGGCTGTGATTCTGTCAAATCAGGCTGGGGATTCGGAGCTGCACCAACGTGCTATTGTCACCATGGGGGACACCTTGGGTAAGTGGAAGCCTGCGCTGCCCCCTGCTCCTCTAGGGTATCTCCAGGCTGCTTTAAATACCTGTCCCTAGATTCTGAGATTCTGTGAAGGCCAGTCTATGCCCCAGGCCCAGGAGCTCTGCAGTTTCTCCCTGTATCTCTGCTCCCCAGAATCTCCACAGCAAGCCAGAGCAGGCCAGCCCGACACTTGGTGTTCTGATGCTGCAGACTCTCCTCTCTGCAGGCTCTTCTCTGCCCCTGGTGACTCCCCTATACATGGAGAAGCACAGAGGACAACGTTCCTGCTGCTGTCAGTCCTTCAGTGACGCAGCTCCGTCAGTTAGGGAACTCTGTTTCTGCCTGGACTACTTTTAAAAATCACGATAATAATAGCAGCCTTTAGTCTTTTACTCTGAAGTCTTTACTTCTGTCATCTGTCTAAACACAGCCTTGTGAGCACTTAGAGGCTAGTGAATGTTCCAGATGAGTGGTTCTTTAATTTGCTCAAGGGGCAGAACATCTAGAAACCCTGGTGTTCTGTGTGGAACTCCGTGAACGCTGCTCTGTTAAACCTGAAGTAGTCACGGGTCAGGTGCTGCCAAGAGGTGGGGTTGTTCAGCACCCTGGACGAGAGGTACCCATGTTTGTGGAGCCCCTCCTGAGCCAGGCACCTTGCTAGGGACTTGACCGACTGGAATTCATTCCATCTGGTTTAAGAATTGCTTCTTACATAGGGCCACTTCTTTGCTCAGGTGGAGACATCCCTACTCACCCCGCATCATCATGAAGGACTAAAGTGTTTAGAAAATTCCTATGGAAAATCCATTAGGGAGAATGAGAATAGGGCCTTATTCTGGCTGAAGAGAACTGAAATGTAACACCTGAGGTCATAAGTCGGGGCAGTGAAGGGGGTGGGGTGCTGCAGGGGCTGTGACTTGGCCTATGAGAAGCTTGTTGATTTACTCCGGTGAGGCTTCTCCCCTGACCCCCAAGTCCACCCTTGCATCTCTCTCTCTCCCACCCACACTGTGGGACCCCACACGGCGGGCTCCATGACTGGGTCCTGTTCTGCTCCTCCCACAGCAGGGAAAGGGCTGGTGGAGGCCGCTCACTTCTGCTATCTCGTGGCTCACGTGCCCTTTGGCCACTATACTGTGAAGACGGACCATCTGGCCTTGCTGGGCAGCAGCCACAGGTATGTGACTTCGTGGGAAAGGGAATAGCAAAGATGTTTGCCACAGGACTGTTGTAGCCCTTGCTGGGTTTCAAGGTGCCACTGTTTATTTTTCCTGGGAACTTTAGCTGCTGCTGCGCTAGCTCACCACCAGGGGGCCTCAGACCCCAGGTCCTGCTCTGCGAAAAGGGCCAGCTGGTGCCTTTGAGTTGTATTGTGCCACTCTGGACACTAGGTGGCATCCTGGTTCCACAACCAGAGATCCTCTCTAAAGAAACCCACCACAGCAAAACCCAAATCCCCAACCCACAACCCCCCTGGGCTGCTTCTAGGAGGCCACCCCAGGAAAAATAGGGAAGTGGAAGAAGTTTATGTTCCCCTCCTTGGAGCCCCAGCACCCCTACGATGACTGTGCACAAGTCCCTCAGAGCCCACTGGGGGGCTTATTACTCTCTGTTGGCTGTGATACCAGGTTTTTCACGCAGGGGAACCTCAGCAAGCCTTTAGAGAATGAGTAGATGGACAGGCAGACAAGCTTAGTCCCTAGCAGTAACAGTTAGGATTTCTGAAGCTCTTGGGGCACTATTTCCCATGTTACAGATCTATCCTAGAGGAGGGTATATTTTCCATCTCATGGAGGAGGGAAACCAAGCCACAAAGGAGTTAAAAAGAGCTTGCCCCAGCCACTATGCCAGGCTGGATGTGGGGTCCAGGCAGCCAGCTGCGAAGTCTGCTCCTGTGACACTTGCCCCCAGCTGCCGCCACCTTAGCGGCGACCACGTCATAGCCTGTTGTCTCGGGACCCTGGTCTCCACGCACAGTGAGCTCATCAGAGGGCCAGATGTGACAACAAGGGTGTTTGGACTAATATGTCCCCTTCCATTTCATGATAAATGAGGACATTTCTTGAGGCAATGTTCTAACCCCCAGGAATAACCCTGGTGACTGTGATTTCAGACACCATGGCAAGCTGTTCAGGGAAGAATGATCTGAGGGGCATGTGGGACACTGGTGGCCCCTCAGATTACACTCACCATGTCCTCCTCCTCGCTGAATGAGCATCCAGTGCAAGGCTGCCATTGCTCTCTGGCTCAGCTGTCCTCTGTCCTCTGCAAGGCCTTCTTTCCTGAGCGCACCTGGAGGGCCCTATGACTCCCTCTTCTGTGCCCCTGTGCTCAGGCTGGGGTGACTTTCCTGGGACATGCCAGGGTTTGGGGCACAAAGGCCAGTGCTTGGTATGTTTAAGAGGACTCAGTACCTTATTCTCCAGCAAAGAAGGCTGAGGAGGACCTCCTCTCTCAGCCTCTGCCTCCTACTGTCCAGGTGCAGAGCTCTGCTGTGCATCCCAGAGCAGACCTGCAGTCTCTTGGAGCCTCCCTGAGATCAGCCCAGGATGAGGCTCTGCCCAGAGGATGCAGCCGGTTTGGGGTCTACTAGGACTTAGCTCTGTCCCTCACTCCCCAATCTCTTTTATTATTATTCTCTGGTTTTAGCCAAGAGTTTTTGAAATTCGCAACAACCGAGGCTATCCAGAGGACGGAAATCTTCGAGTACTGCCAGATGCTGGGCCGCCCCAAGTCCTTCATCCCCTCTTTTCAGGTAACTGAACCCGGTTGAGGGCACCAGCTGAGCTGTGCAGGCTCTGGGCAGCTGGATTCCCAGCTTTGCGTTTGGCACACACTTCCCGGGGCTAAGGCATCGACCGTGTTTCTCCTCATTAGTGTGAGAATGGGGAGGTTAGGGTTTCTTTTCATGTCCCCTAAAGGTCTACATTTCACAATATGAAAGCGGAACCTGGCAGATGCCTCTCTGCTGGAGGCTCCTGCCTCACTCCAGGCACAGGAGAATCCTGCTTGCCTTCTGGGCCGCCTCCTCCCACATCAGCCCTCTCTCCTCTTCTCTTGCTGCCGCCTCTTCCTCCTCCTCCTCCTCTTCCTCCTCCTCCTCCTCTTCCTCCTCTTCCTCCTCCTCCTCCTC